AAAAAAAAAAGAAAAAAGGAGAAGACTTCATGAATGACTAACATGTTTTAAATTGCAGTGAAAGCTAACCTGTGAACTGGGTTAAACTTGATTTGTATTTACTGGTCTCGTATAGATCTTTCGAGAATTGATCTTTTCTGTTCTTTTTTCTCCAATATGCATATACAGTTTTATTGAAGAATTTCTTCCCATCCATCATGATGAATCTTTTTGTCTACATCTTTAATTTCAACCTTGTTAACTTTTGTGAGTATTTAACTTCTTTTTTTTGCCCTTAATTAGCTGGAATGTATTTTTGAATGCTAGATCCTTTTAGTTGTTGACATGACTTTTGCTTCTGAAATGATAGTTATCTTTGGGAAGAGTGGAAAGAGAGGCATAAGGAGACATCTGAAGATCTATCTTCAAAATTCTTGAATCTGCGGTTTGTCTCACTTGAGGTATTGCTTATCTCAGTTTAATATTTAGCTATTCTAGGGTGGAGTCTTGGAATTAGAATTCCCCCAACAACTTGTTGTACCCACCTGAAGGGTTTGAGAAGCAGTGAGAACTGGTTTAAATGTTATGGTTTCTCGCCTCACTTGATTTAGGTTTCTATAAGACAGCACCATAACTGTCACAGGGGATGAGCATTGCATTTATCTTATAATCTTGTTTTGTTTTGGGAGCTCTTGGGGATACCACTTTCTTTTCTTGCGCTGTGTTTGTCTAGCATTTGGAGGGATGATGCTTGAGTAGTCCTGCCTCCACTTTCTTAATGTCATGATGAATGGAAAGTATTTATTTGCAATATAATGATTTTTACACTAAATATTCCAGCTTGCAAAGAACAAAGCTGCTTTTCACTATAGAAGTAGTGAAATTCCAATATTTGTTTGTGTGCTTATGTATGAGGATGCAATTTTCTGATGCTTTACATCTTTGTCCTTTCTTTGTTGTGTGTGATTGTTTGTCAGTTGTCTCTCTGGCCATTTATCCAGATTATGTTCTTTTTTTTGTTGACATTTTTGTATGTCTGCTTGTATGTAACTTAGAGAACTGACTATTATTTATTCAGTTGGAGACAGCAAAGTTTAAAAAGAAAAGTAAAAAAGGAAAATAATGAAACTAAATTTTTTCATGCGTTAAATCTTTGTTATTCTGTTGTTAGTGTACAGGTTATGAGTACTTATTAGTGATCTCTCTCATGGCATATTTATATAATCCATTTATCTGACATTTAGCCTATTTATTGTCAGCTTCCACAGCAGGAGAATTCATTTGATTGCGGCTTGTTCTTACTCCACTATCTGGAGCTCTTTTTAGCTGAAGCTCCTCCTAACTTCAATCCATTCAAAATAACAGAGTTCTCTAACTTTGTAAGTGGTCTGCATAGTTTTTTTGGTTCACAGTGCAATTGACGCTAAAGTTTGTAATTTTGTCTAATACCATATGAAGAGCTCTCTCAAGCACCATCTTGTTTTTTTCTTCTTAATATATATTTATTTTATAATTAATAAATGTGTACACTTTTATTTTTATCCTCCGTATTTGTCCAGTTTGCAATTGAAGTGATCTTTGGTTTTGAATTGAAGCATAAATGCTTTAATATGGAAATTGTCTTGATTTTGTTCTAAGGACCAGGCACCAAGTTGAAAGTTTCCAAAGATAAGCTAAGAATAACCTGATAACATATGTGATCAATATTTTTTTTTTGTATGTTTGGAATAATCAGCCATAGTTTTATAATTTTGTTTTTCCTTTGCTTTCTTTCCCAGCTTAATTTGGGTTGGTTTCCACCTATTGAGGCATCTCTAAAGCGCACTCTCATCCAGAAGTTAGTTTTTGAACTCCTAGAAACTCGTTCTCGGGAAATCAACTCATCTGATTGCAGTGATGAACATCATTCGTCTAAATTTCCTGAAAAGATTGAAAATGAAACCGGTGTGGAGTTTATCACAGAGAATTTCAGACCAGAAGTAGCTTGTCATGGGAATTTAGATTCCCAAGCTGGCCAAGGGATTGAAATAACTCTGTTAGCATCATCTTCTTTGAGAAATATGGAAAGTGTTAATGATTCTGGCTTGGTTCTTAAGGAGTTATTTGAGCCAGGAGTTACAACAGGATCTTTGCTTGGACAATTTCAATCTTTTGACCAGCAGTCGTCATATTACAATCTGAATGGGGCTATATCACCAAGAGAGGTATTGAATTTCATTGTTCTTGTGATAATCATTTGTTCTATCCAATCCTGAGATAATTGAAGCTTAGTAGAATATTCAATTAGGGCATAAAATGCATTTGGTGCATTGCTAACTAATTAACTTCCTACTACCTTCTGGTTGTATATTAGACATGCATACACACCAGAGAAAAGGGAGGAAATACTGCTATTACAGAGAAAAATTGGGGAATAGAGGGACTTCTACCGCCAAATCATATTTCTTTTTCTAAGTTTTCTTGGGAACTAAGTACTATGTCACTGAAATTTTTTATTTCCAAATTCAAATAAGAATTAATTGTTTTATCTGCAGCAAGAAGATGTGCAAACTGGTCAACAGTTTGTTTATATAGCTTCTGGAGAAAACAGTTTTCCACAGTTTGCTGGAATCAGACCTCAAGCCTGTGAAGTTCCATATTCATCGAGAGGTTTTGTCATGGGCAGTTCATGGAATCCTGGAATTACCATGCGAGGAGATCATGAAGTTGACACATCGCTTGAAACATCTTGTGCCTCTGATGATGATGATGATGATGATGTTGGGATCATTGAAAACAACACCATTGAGGATATTGTATATCCAAGTGAAAAACAGGAAACAGATCAGCAACGATCTCAGTTAGCGGAAAATGTTGAGCATCTGAAGATAGGATTCACTCCTGCCTCCCGTGAGGTGCTGGAGACTTCTACCAGTGAAGTTTCTGAAGCTTCTGAAGACACTGATAAGATTTACCATAGCGCTGAGGATGCAGACCTTCCCTCCAAAGATAATCTGCCTGTATCGATGCATCAAAATCCTGGTGTGGCAGTTAACCAGTTGGATCAGGATTCTGAACTGGTTGAAAAGAATGCTGAAATGGTTGAACCAAAGGAGGCTGGAGGTGATGAT